GGCTTATTATAGGGGAGGGCTTATTGTTTTGGGGTTGCTGGGTGGCTGCTCCCTTGTGAACTGGCTCCTGAACTGTCTTACAGAGAGTTCTAGTAGCCAGCTCACAACCACAGAGCACACTCCTAGAGTGGCCGCTGCTGGAAGACTCGGCAGCTGAGTTTTGAACTGGAGAAGGCGTTATGCTCGGAGCGCGGCAGCTGCTGCAGGGAGAGCTGGGCCCGGACATGTTGAGGCTAGGAGGCATGCCTGCTGGGGGCAGAACAGACGCTCGCGCAACCCCCTCCTCCAGCCGGGCAGAGCTCCATGCACTGACCTAGGGGGTATCCCTAATGTGCCAAGCCGCGGGAGCTGGGGAAGGGGCAGAGCGCCACATGGCTTGGCACATTAGGGATACCCCCTAGATCAGTGAATGGTGCTCTGCCCGGCTGGAGAGGGGGTTTGCCGGGCGGTTGCTTGTGAGGGTGGTCACCTCATGGCAGCTTTGCCCTGACGCTATGCCCGGCTCTTCGGGAGCCAGTTCGCAAGGGAGCAGCTGCCCGGCAACTCCCCCCTCCGGCCAGGCAGAATGCCACTCCCCAACCTAGCACTATCCTGAAGGCGACAAACAATGTGAGCGCCTTTCTCCCCCCCCCCCCGGTTCCTGCGGGTTGGTGCCTTCAGGATACCGCTATGTCAGTGAGCGGTGCTCTGCCTGGCCGGGGGGGGGGTGTCCAGGGGGTATATTTTTGGAGGTGGGCTTATATTTTTGCCCATGTGAAAAATGTGGCAAGACTTTGGTTTCAGGACAGGTCATATTTTCGGGGAAACACGGTATTTCTTCCTAGACTTTCTTACTGCTGTAAGAGCTCTCTGAATGTCAATAAAACGTTGAAGGTGGAAACCACAGCTTTTTTCCTAAAGGTTTATTTTTAATCCATGTATTTTCTGTACTAATTTTATAAGTCTGCCCAACTCAAACAAGGTGACTCAGGGGGTGGGGGAGCATACAAAACTTTTGAAACCTAAACTATTGAAGGTATCACAGGAAAATCAATTTGCACCGGCTTCTCTCATTATTAACCTGCAGAACAGCAGATTATACTTTACATTGCCATAGGGCGTAACAGAAATATATTGTGACACATGTTTGCTAGGTAGGGCTCAGTTATGATTATACTATCTTATTCTCATCAAAGCATCTGGGCTTCCTTAAATCGCATTATATTCCTGAAGCAGTCCCATTTATTCTTCGAACCTATAAGGAAATAGTTTCCCAATCTATATTCTATCATGAACCAGCTGAGAAGATAAGCCACCTAAGGTTTGGGAAAGGATTGTAGTAAATTATTGTGAGATGACAATTATATTTCCTCTTTAGGAGATAATGCATGAAAAATGGCAAAAGTTCATCTGCAAAGAGCAACTAGAGGGGTTCTAAAATTAATTAAAAACAACAAAGGGAAATCAATGTCTTCAAAAAAATCAAGAGTATCAAATATCTTATAACTACAACATAAGAACAAGCTTAGGAAAACTACAAATCTTAAAAGAAAAAAAGGGACGTTGGATCTAAACATAGTCAATTAGGCCCCCAATGGTTCTTTCTGCCAAGTATATTTCACAACGAGTGGACACTTACTGAAACGGCCCTTCCACAATTAGCCATATGCTGTATAACAACCCACAAGCAAGGACCACACAGGAAAATCAGTGTGGTTGTTGGGTAACACAAAAAGCAGAAAAGATAAACACTTCTCCTTATTAAGAATGTTAATCCATCAACCATGTATTACTTTCTTTCCATAAAAATACTAATAAGAATTTGTTCATTTTTCCAAGGTAGCCACCACAAACATACTAGACCTCACGGGCATAAGCCATATAAAACAGAGCAAAAGAAAAAAAAGAAAGCGGGTGAACAATCTTTGGTCCTCACTCCAGTAGCAGGAAAGCCTTCTGAGTAAATTCTCTGACAAGCATAGCGGAGATTGAAAAAAGAACGCCTCGTTCTTTGGTGTAGTGCAGTGGTGGGATTCAATTTTTTTTACTACCGGTTGTGTGAACGTGGCTTGGAGAGAGTGGCATGGCTTGATGGGCATGGCAGGAGAAGGATACTATAAAATCTCTATTCCCTCCCCACTCCAGGGAAAGAATACTGTAAAATCTCCATTCCCTCCCCACTCCAGGGGAAGGATGCGGCAAAATCCCCATATCCTCCCAATCAGCTGGGACTTGGGAGGCAGAGAATAGATGTGGGCGGGGCCAGTCAGAGGTGGTATTTACCGGTTCTCCGAACTACTCACAATTTCCGTCACTGGTTCTCCAGAATACCTACCTGAATACCACCTCTAGTGCAGCGGTGTTTCCGTTTTCTGAGAAATTTGAAAAGCATAAGTCATCTAGAGCAATGTCTCTCAACGTTGGGCATTTTAAGATGTGTGGACTTCAGCTCCCAGATTTCCAGCTCCCGCCTTAAAATGTCTAACGTTGATATTCTGCTCTAGAAGAAAGAGGTGCTGGAGGAAGCAGGAATCAAGAGCATTTGCTCCTGATAAGCTAAAAGCCTCAGAGCACTGCAAAAGTACCTGTTGTTTCAGCTGCTGAACCAAGCGGTCTTTTTCACGTTTTAATCCAGCGACTTCCTCTTGAGTTTTTTTCTTAGAAGACGAAAGCTCCAGGAGAGCAATGTTGGCATCTTTTTCACTAATGGCAGCTAGAAGGGCTTCTTGTCTGGAAAAAGAAAGAAAGAAAAGAACCGATTAACTTCGCTCACCCTGCTCCAAATAGGCAAATGTATCTTGTGCCCTGTTCATAATTTAATGCCAATTCCTGTTTTGTGCTCCCTTTAAAATATCAAGCTGCATCTAGTTAAAGCTATGGTCATTTTAAGACTCTTAAAGTGGAGATATGTTGAGGGAACAATAAGCCCCACTGGCTTAGCATTCACTGGAGTTTATAGCAGAAGTATTTGCTAAATAAATCTATCGGGATATTTCATGATAGCAATGAGATTCTCTTAGAGAACTGACAGCCCCATTAAATATGACTATATCCTGGATATCTCCTTTATGCAAGAAAGTTGTATGTACACATGCATACATTGACAGCTTCCTAAAACAAGCTATATCCAGTTAAACTAAGAGCAGGTTACATATACTTGTTTACTTTATCGTTTAAAAAAGTGTTCAGTTCATTTTTCAACTTAAAACTCCCTGTATTTTTAAAAAATGCAATATAAGCTGTTAGCATAGGGAGATCATGCCTGAATATTTCCAGAAGCACTGCGGAAGTCCCTCCTGCTCAACAAAACTATTTAAGAATCACGTCCACGTTTCTGGAAAAACTATCTGGACACTGATGAAGTCTGAACTCCCTGTAGAGTCTCTGAGGGAGTCCCCTCAAATGTATAACCAATACTACAAAGACATCTCAGATATGACTTTATAGACTGGTCTCTTACTTAAAGATACATCAAGGGTCAAAACCATGTGTTGGTTACATTTCTATTATTCCCACAGTGCAATGACGTGAAAAAAATTCAATGGCCTGAGGTCAGAAAAGTCCACTCATAAAATGATTTATGGCCCAGCAGCTCCATTCCTCAGGTCTATGGATTTTATTACAAAATAAACCTCAGAACAAGATACGATTTCCTGTCTGAGTGAACAGCTTTTACATTAGGACACCTGGACAGCCTTGCGATTATTTAAGAGAAATAATAGGTCTGAACCACACTGGTGCAACTTGTTGCTGGTGTTCGCATCCTAGAGCTGCTAACTTTTAAAATACTCTATATAACCATCAAGTAGACTGGCAAACATTTAATATTAAATTAAGAATACTTGTATGTTGGATCTATCATCAAAGCAGTACAGAAAATTTGTGAAACAAAACATTTGTACTTTGGCTGCTAGTAACTTGACTTTTTAAAACTGTTTTAAAAATGTTAAATCAATACAAGAGAATATTCTTACTCTTAAGATAAGCTCTTGATTGCTGTGCAGAACAAAAGATGTATTTTCATAAGGACATACTTCACTATTCTCACCTAAAGGATATACGGTAAATAGTCACTCCAGCCCTGTCTCTCTCTGTGAGTGCATGGTCATGCACGCGTGCACACACATGCTCATGTGTGTATGCAATAAAGAGGACTACATTTATGGGCAATATGTAAGTAAATGTGATAATTTATTAGAAAGGGTTAGAGATTTTCATTTCTCTTAATATATATATATATATATATATATATATATATATATATATA